GCAGTAGCAGTAGCAGTAGCAGTAGCAGTAGCAGTAGCAGTAGCATTAGTAGTAGTAGTAGTAGTAGTAGTTGTTGTTGTAGTTGTAGTAGTAGTAGTAGGAGGAGGAGGAGGAGGAGTAGGAGTAGGAGGAGTAGTAGTAGTAGTCGTAGTAGTAGTAGTAGTAGTACATTCACGAGTGGTGGTAGTGGCAGCAAGAGTAATGGTATAGAGTGGTGCCTTTCCGGCCTCAAGCCCATCCAGGTAGGCAGGCCTCATTCAAGAGACTTGGGCCCTTAAAACTTGAGGCTTCAACACACATGTCGCCCCGGAAAGGTCCGGGAATCTGAACAATATTAGGTACTCCCAGACTGCCAGACCTTTCTATTTTCGGGCTCCAAAGTGCCTGCTGGCAACATACAGCCTTGGTTATTTGATGGCGTGGCCCCACTTCGTAGAAAGATTTCGCAAAACAACCGAGCTTCATCCGAACGCCTTGAGGTTCAAGCCTTTCTGTAGTTTCAAGGCCTTGCTTCCATAAAGTTTCAGGCAGGAAAACTTTACGTCAGTGGTAGGTCCAAAACTAACTTGCAAACCCTACAAGGCAGGGCAAACGTTACCCTATTGGGGCTGCCAGACCAGTGGTTCCTCCACTAGTGCAGTCGTAGTAGTAGTAGTAGTAATAGTCGTGGTAGTAGTAGTAGTAGTAGTAGTAGTAGTACTTGTTGTTGTACTGGTTGTAGTTGTAGTAATAGTCGGAAGAGCAGGAGTAGGTGGTAGTGGTGGTAGTGGTACAGTGGCAGTGGCAGTGGTAATGGCAGTGGTAGTGGTGGTGCTGGTGTTGGTGGCGGCGGTGGCGGCGATACTCGTCGTCGTTCTCGTCGTCCTCATCCTTATCCTCATCTCCGTCCGCATTCCTGCAAGTCCGCCTTCCTCCTACGCCTCCTCGTCGTCCACGTGTGCGTCCGCGTCGTCGTCCTCGTCCCTCGTTCTCGTCAGCGTAGCGTGGTGATGGTGGTCGTGAAGGTGGTGATGGCGGCGGTGCAAACAGAGCAGCAACAGCGGCCGGGTAGCAGCAGCACCCATCCGCAATTGAAGTCACACGAATTCACTCCCGTGAACATCATTGGCTTCAAGGGCCTGTACGGGAGGCAGAAACAGTAGTGTCACGCACTTCGGTGTGCATTCCGGAAATATCCGGAAGAACATCCCAATTGCCGACCGAACTCTCCAGTACTGACGGGAGGCCGGAGCGTGCCAAAGTCGTGGTGAAGACCTCGACCACCCTGAAACATGATTTGGGAGAATCATCTGCATGGAGCACAAGGTCGAGCACGGCCTCTGAGCGTAGGTCTCTGCTGCTCTCGGACCAGCACCATCTCGGAGGGACTCACGATATTGCATTGAGCACTCCTGCGCGTGAGCACAACCAGGCACGTTCACGCGCCGAGGCCCGCCCCGGAACTGTGGGCGGCGAAAGTCGGTCAGACAGCATGTCCTTGAAGCGTGTTAGCTCTGCTGGACCAAGTTGTTCCTGTGCTGGGAGGTATGATGCAAGATCGGCTCCGAAACATGAGCAACACCCCTCCGGCTGCGGAAGACTGCGAGGCACCTTCCTCCCTTTCGACTCCATGTGACACTTCCACTGGCAACGGCCTCCAGGTCGCGCTTGAAGCGTCGATTCTTTGCCCGATACTCCTGAACATGCCCGTGGCACATGAGCTTATGTTATAGTCACAGACAGGAGTTGGAGTGCATGCTGTCCGTGCCTCTTGATCAAGACCGACAACTTGGTCGATTCCAGTCCTGAGGTTGTGTCAATCGTATTGGTCGGGATGTGGCCTTGCATCTTAGCCCCGCCCTCTTGCTGACCGTGTTGATTCTTTCTTTCCGTGATTCCGGCGATTGCTTGGATTTGCATTGGTTTGCATCAATCCAGTCTGGATTTCATCGATTTCCGCCGTCCTTTGGGGTTGGGACTGCAGCAGTAGTTGTTGGAGCTGTGGTTGTGGTTGTGCTTGTAGCTGTAGTTGTAGTTGTGGTATTGGTGGTGGTGGTGGTAGTAGTAGTCGTCGTCGTCGTCGTGGCGGGCGCCCCCTTACCAACTACCTCTGCTCCAAACCCTCTTAAGAGCACATCCGGTTCACTCGATATTTACGGTACGTTCGTCGTGTCATACCACTTCTTCTTCGCTCAAATCCACTCCTGGACTTTGCAAAATTGGGCTTCGGATTGGGGTTGGGGTTTGGGGGGGGGGTTGGGGGGGTTTGGGGGGTTTGGGGGGATGATGACGACATTGTTACACAGACACCCGAACAATATCTCCAGAAGAGCCGTTTTACTCCATATTTACAGTACTTTCGTGATCTCGGACCCTCTCATATAGTCACCAAACCTACTTCTGGACTTTGCGGTCTCGGCCTTGCGATTTCGCTGGGCTTTCGGCGAATGTCAAATTGGGTTTGGGGAAGCCTTTGCGGGGATGATCACGACACTGTTTCGCGGACACCCCGAACAATATAACCACACCCTAGCCTAGCGCGCGCACACACACACGCTCACACCACAACCAAAAGCAAACCCTCCTACGCCGAGGTCTGGGCTTTAGGGGCGTTGGCGAGCTCCTCCCTCGTACAGCTGGCATCTTTGGTTTGATGTTTATAAGCTTCAAGTTTTAGGAGTGTTACAGCCTTCTTGGCAACACTTGCATTGTGCACGGTGTTTACAGCGTTTTCATACTATGCGACCACCTGTGGTTTAGCAGTTTCCTACCCCTCGAGTTTGCAATTCCAACTGCTGTCGCAGTTTTGGGGCCTGAGCCTCTGCAACTTCGCCCTCTGCAAGTCACAGATAGGGAGCCTGAGCCCCCGCATCTTCTGCAGCTTTCGCAGTGAGGGAGCATAGAAGCCGCCACTGCCCATCCCGGATGGAGCAGGTGTAGTTGGTAGGCGGGGGTGGCTAGTAGTATAGGTAGTAGTAGTAGTAGTAGTAGCAGCAGTAGTAGCAGTAGTAGTAGTAGTCGTCGTCGTCGTCGTCGTAGTCGTAGTCGTCGTAGTGGTAGTGGTAGTGGTAGTGGTAGTCCTCGTTGTAGTAGTAGTCGTAATAGTAGTAGTAGTAGTAGTAGAAGTAGTAGTAGTCGTAGGCGTAGTCGTAGTTGTCGTAGTGGTAGTGGTAGTGGTGGTAGTAGTAGTAGTAGTAGTAGTCGTAGTCGTAGTCGTAGTCGTAGTCGTAGTCGTAGTCGTAGTCGTAGTCGTAGTAGTGGTGGTGGTGGTAGTAGTAGTAGCAGCAGCAGCAGGAGTAGTAGTAGTAGTAGTAGTAGTAGCAAGTAGAATAAGTAGAAGTAGCAGTTGTTGTTGTTGTTGTCGCAGGATTGACAGTGGCATGGTGATGATGATGACGATGACGATGGCAGCTATATCGTGGCTTCCTGACTGGCACTGGCCGAGGAGCTCGTTCACACAACCGTAGTTCTGCAGCAGTGACTTCAACTTGCTCGGCTCCAACTTGCCCATGCATGCTGGAGCAATCCTTGGCTTCAGGTATTTAGGCTTGCTTATGCATTGCAGCGTTCGGGCATGCTGTTCGTAGGATTGCCAGGGCTGGTGGATGCTACGACACAAGGGAGGTGAGCTTATGGCTTGAATTCCGAGGCTGCCCCTCTGCAGGGACAGGGTTATGCTTGCCCTTTGTTTCATGATTTGGGACCCCCCTGCAAACCTCAAATCTGCTCTTGGAGATCTAGTGCCGGTCGATGTTCAGGGCTGCGTGTAAAAAGCTGCTCTTCCCCAACCTGAAGCCACTTTAAAGCTGATCGCTAAGCTTGTACTCTGCCCTCAACCCGTTGAACCTGAAACTATTTGTCTGGGTCGGGGCTCGGTTGTCAGCCTTGGTCTCAGTAGGTCAAGATGCGATTTGTCGGTTCAGGGTTTTTGATATCGAACAATCAAGAATGCAAAGAGGAAGGGCGCGCAATAATTTGCGACTGCCTTCTCTGATTGCAGTGGCCTTAATGTTATGCAACTCCGATGCTTGCATCATGCCTGACGCTCTTCGAATGGACATGGGCCCATACTAGTAGTTCCGCAGCCTCAAACTACCAGGTGTGCTCAGCTTGAAGCAATCAAACACATCTGTAACCTATATCTTAGTGAAAGGAGGCTGTCCAGGCCAAGCATCTTCTTCGTGTGAACAAGCCGGTTGTGGTAGCCTCAGTCGCTCTTGGTCAAGTCTTCGGCTAAAATGCAAGAGGGAAGACACACAGAGTGTGATCAATTCAGACATGTCGTAGGTGCATGCATACATACGTATGTACATACGCACTTTTATACGTACACACATACATGCATGCATGCATGCATGCATACATACATACATACATACATACATACATACATACAAGTACATATCTTCTTCGTGTGAACAAGCCGGTTGTCGGCTAAATACAAGAGGGAAGACACACAACTGTGTGATCAACTCAGACATGTCGTAGGTGCATGCATACATACGCATGTACATACGCACTTTTATACATACATGCATGCCTACATACATGACCTACGTGCATACACATATGAGTACATGCGTACATACATACATATACATACATTACATTACAATACATTACATTACATTACAGTACAGTGCTTTCCAGCACAGTGCAGTGCAGTGCAGTGCATAAAATTACATTACATTACATGACATTACATTACATTATATTATATTACATTGCATTACATTACCTTATATTACATTACATTACATTAATACATACATACATACATACATACATACATTCATGCAGACATAGATACACACACATGCATAAATACATGCCTACAGCCATCCATCCGCCCATCCATCAATCCATTCATGCATGCATGCAGGCATGCAGGCCTGAATTTCTGTATATACATGTATGTATATATATATGTGTATGTATATATATATATACATATAGAGAGAGATATACATATGTACGGAACTACATGTGAATGCAAAACAAAAGTGTATGTATGCGTGTACCTATGTATCTATGTATGTATGTATGTAGGTGTATATGGGATATACATAGGTATGTGTGTGTGCGGGTTCACGTACCCAAGACCAGGGGTTGCAACGCGACGGAATACAAGCAGCCGTGTTGTTATATAAACAAACAGACACACACACACAGAGACACGCACACACACAAACACGAACCACAGCTTAGCTAGACGACCAACTGAATTTCTCTCTGGAATCCGTCGGCAGCAACCCCAAATCGTGTACGCTCACTACACCCTCCAGCCGAGGCGCAGGACTGGATGCGTGCCACAGGTTCGCGGAAGTTGGTCAAGCAAGAAACCTTCTTCTCCGGCAAGCTGTCCTTACTTGTCGCAGGATAAAGGTGCGTGATGGCGGGTTGCAGAAGCTAAAGGGTCGGCTACAAACATAGAAACAGTTGCTTTAGAGACAAGGTATCCATGAGCTCTCGCCAGCAGAACTGGCCTCCGTAGACTGCGGCTTTAGCGTCGTTGTTCTTAAACTCCCTGCAGGAAACACCACCGGAGCACATGATGTGCGGCGACAGCTTCATGTTCACGGACTGGTTGTAGAGCAACTTTCGCATAGTGGTGCCGCCGGCGCGGTGTTGGTGCATGAAGACCAAGGGGGCATGTTCCGACACATCCTCGTTCTTGGGTGGGACCTTCTTGTTCAAAAACCTGTCAATCATCACCTCTACAAAGTCAGAGTCGGCTGCGTTGGCTTTTGCTGCCTTTGCATGGTTGGACTTGCCGGCCCACTTGCCTGCCTTCTTTCCTGGCACGTCTTCCGAGTCTAGACTCAAAGCTATACTCAACAAATGCTTTTTGTTAGCTTTGCTTCCAATGACCGGGCCAACTAGTACGTATCCCGAATATTTGTAGTTAGGATGCCGCCTCCGACGGACTTTCCAGCAGACGCCTTTCCATTGGTGGCTTCCTTCTTGTGGGCCTGCGCCCACTTTCCATGGCCCTTCGTGGCTGGATGCTTCTTGGCTCCACTTGCACCGGCGGCGTCGGAATAGATGCCCGCATCGGATGCCTGCGGGTTGCAGTCGCGGAAGACAGCAGGGACTACCTAAAGCAGCCTGAAGCCGGTTTTGCTTCTGGACTTCGCCACAGACTGTCAATCCAGTGCGCATGAGAAGGCATGAACATCCTTGCGCCTGAAATTTGAAGCCTGCGGGCCTAAACCCCAAACGTTTCCCTTTGCTGCGACCTCCTCCACTGCAGGCTCCTCCATCTCTGACGGGTCTGCAGGTTCGATGGTGGCGGGGGTTTCCTCTACGTCGGGAATCTCTGCGACGGGCTCCTCAGCCAAAGGTGGGCCGGATTTTGGCTTAGGTCTAGCAAATTTGGGGTTGAGTACACTGGAGGCAACATAGGAATATTCAGTCCAGGCTCCTCCACAGCAGGTTCCTCCACAGCCGATTCCTCTGCTGCGGGTTCCTTTGCTGCGGGTTCCTCTGCTGCGGGTTCCTCTGGGGCAGTTTCCTCAGCCATGGGTTCCTCCGCTGCAGGTTCCTCCGCAGTCGCCTCGGTAGCGGGTGCCTTTGGAGAATCCGCCACTTTTGCCGGCGTGTCATCGTCACCAAAGTCGCCGCCGGACTTCCGTCGGATGCCGACTTGCATAGCGCAGTTGCCCTCATGGTCTGGCTCAGCCACGGACCACTGGAGGCAAGCAGCTGCCAAGAGTGCAGCCAAGACTTTGGCGGAATGCACAGCCATCTTGAAGCTGTGGCTCAAGGCTCAATGCGCGCTTGTAGGTTCGGTTCGCTTCGCCCTTGGGCCGAAAACTTCTCGACTCGAGTTCTCATTGCTTGACCCCGTCCCTCCTTTGCAAAAGATGCCAAGAAAGCATGCATATCAATATCATCGTCACAGGTTCCAGTACTCTTCTACGCCCGAACTCTTTCTACCCTAAACCCTAAAAACCCTAAACCTTATAATCCCTGCCTTTTAGGGCCTGACCCGGCCGGTGTCACAAAAGCGGCAGTCCAGTGCACAGCCAGCTTGCGACGAAACCTCGGCTCTCCCGTTTGAGGCCAGTCTGAAGCTTGAAAAGTAGTACGCCACAAATTTCACAAGACCAAAGAGTGAATGTATTTAAATGTAGAAAATAATAATTATATATATATGTATATATGTATATATATATATGTATATATCTAAGCTGGAGTGTGATGAAGGCTCAAACTTAAACCCGACACCCCGACCGCACCAACTAGCTGCATGAGCATTGCAAAGCGACCTGCGGCTCAGTGCCGGACGCAAACACTCACACCCTTCTGCTTTATCCGGTTCACGTCCTCAGCGAAAGCTCACAGGCCACTGGCTTTAGGATGTTTTGGGGTTTGGGACTCGCGATCCTTTGTAGACATGAGCGACTGCATGCCGCAGCATGCATTGAATGAGAGAAACGTTTTTCGTGGTGTCTGGTTGTGAGAATAGCTCCGAATCGATGGAGCGCAACTACAGCTCAGATTGCACACCGAGTGTATAGCAACAGGTCTTCGACAGCTAGCATCGTCCAGAAGCGGACAGCATTTTCTCGCGCTTCTCAAACGACCCCATCTTGTTGCCAGCGCTCATTGCAGGCCGGGCATTCTGCAAGGATGCACTTGCCTGGCAAGGCTTCGACATTTGTGCCGGGCCACGAGTGTTGCATTATGGATTGTTCTCTCTCTCGCTCTCTCTCTCTCTCTCTCTCTCTCTCTCTCTCTGTCTCTCTCGCTCGCTACTGTGCCAACCTCGAACATGACTATGAGGACTATGACTAATTGTATAAATGTCATTGCTACTGGCCAGTGCTACTGTTGCTAGTAACAGTAGTATAGTACTTCTCTTATACTTCACTAAGTCTTACCATTACTACACCGATAGTATGCTATCATAACTTTACACACATATTTCTCCCTGAGCCCTAAACCCTAACTATCATGACAACGCTCGGCCCGCCGAAGAGCTGAAATGAAACCCTGCTGGACTCCTAAACCCTAAACCCAAAACCCCTCCTCCGCGGTGCAAGTCTCAGAGTGTTTAGACTCAACAACTGCCGGCCCCGAGGGCGCCGATCTCGGGTTCGGGGCCTCGGCCTTCAGCTTCAGTTTTTGAGGGTTTAGGGTCGGGCTGAATGAGGGCTTCGGGCTTAGGGGTGGGGTGTCAAGGAACCCACTTTACAACTCTTTCTTTACCTGCATACCCATAGGCCCCTAAGTAGTTCCTCTTTGGGATTACCTTATAGGATTCTAAATATACACCATAAAAAGGAACTACTTAGGAGCCTATGGGTAGGCTTGCCATCGGGAAGTCTCGGCGCATCCCAACCCTGGCCTGTGTCTCTGCGCATGTGCCCCATGTTGCCTGCAAGTTGAGCTGTTGTCAAGCGGCACCATGCCGCTACTGTAGGGGCCTTAATAAATAGAATAGGGTTTTGGGGTGATTGCGGACTGACGTCTGAGGCGATTGCTTCTATATTATACTACAACAACAATAAAATAGTTTAGGTTTAGGTATATATTTAAGCCCCTACATTATATTACGCCCCAGCATCCCTCTTTGCAAGAAGGCCGTGAACCCTTTCAATGTACACGGCGCGTTACCCAATAATCCACATGGCAGCTTTCCCCTTCCCCATGTACAGACAGAAGTTTAGGGATGAATTTCCGGAAAAGGAGATACCAGTAGTAGCTGTCATCATGGTACGCAACCATAGCAGCAAGGCACAAAGCCCTAAAGCTAAGCCGCGAAGAGTCGGACTTCCAGTATATTCAAGGGCAAACTCCCAACAGAGCATCTCCCGAAAATCAGGCTCCCACGTCAACTCTTGAAGCCATATACTAAGAATAATGATTATTGTTAGTCTTGTGAAATTGTTTACCCACATAAAACAGTCTTGTTAGTGTTACAGTACCCCCTCAAAAAAAGTTGGAAACCGGATTAGGGACACTTTGTGCTGGGATTCCCTAAAATATGACTCTTAAGGATTGAGGCTATTGGGTTTCCAACTTTTGGGCTCCTACTGTGTAGTATATCACTGGTTCCCTTTTGGGGCCATATTGAAAATGATCATTTTTTCTCCTTATAAGGGTTTTCTATCCACAAACATGCAAAATTGTAGCCAACAAGGACCCAGATCATAGGATGGTTTAGTACTTTTGCTTCCCTCAGTCTCACACTTGCGCTTCCCTACAACGCCCTGTAAGCTCCAAGCTTCATTCCGAGAAAAGGTTGCAGTATGCCTGTCGGCCTAGGGAACCGATGTTACTGGCATGACTTTTTTGACTATGATTATGATTTTTGGCATCCTTACTATTGTTACTATTCCTTACTACTAATACTAGTACAGACTTAGGCACCTGAATTCAATATGTCTCACACTCAGGTGCCCTGAATCCTCCACCCCTGTTTCGGCAACGAAAATTGGGAGGATCCGATTCTTTGGGAACCATACTGGGCCCTTGATTTTCTGAAGGTCCCTCATTTGACCCTCACCCTGCCAAACTTTGCCGGGTTTTGGGTCATGGGATGAGGCACGCGGTGTAGGGTAGTAGTGTGAGGTTGAAGGGAAAGCCAGATACTGACATCTGTAGTAACAACACAAAAGCAGTAGTGTCCGTAAGCTGGAGAGGGACCGTGTGCTGCAACACAATCATATCCCTGAGGGCAAGACCCCATGCGACAACGTGCTCAAACGGAGTGTGCTGAACATGCCGTAGGCCCGAAGGTTCTAACATGCAACACCTTAACCAAGGTGGAGAACTAGACTTCAATACTTACAGTCGAATCTCAAACCCTCGTCAATGCACCGATGGTACAGAACGCAAAAACTCTCGCTCATCTTGTATCGACAAGTACCGAGCTCCTCTCATCCTATCTACGATCCCGCAACCTGTTTCATGTACTAGGAAAAGCCTCTGGGGTCCTATCCTATTACCATTTTCAGGTTTAGGGTTTAGGGCAGTTTAGGGTTTCGGGTTTAGGGGTGTAGTTGAACAAACCCCAAAAAGTCTATTCCAAATGTCAGGGCCCCTGTACTCGTCCTCAGATATCAGGGAAGGGCAAGGTCGGGTGGAGCCTCCAGCACGTGGAAGCGCCCAAGAATCCCTTCAGTGAAGGCACAAGCTCTGAAAACGAGGTCTCCAAAGGAGTGACGAGGACAAGAATTCAGGGATTGATTGGTTTTAGTGTTATTCTTTTGGCCCTCTACTTCGCAAGGACAAGACCGCATGGCTGTAGGGTTATTAATGCTCAGGGTTGGTAACTGTACTGTACAGAGGATAGGGCTACTATGGGGGCCTTACGAGGCAGAATAGGGTTTTGGGGTAGATTATACTATAAACTATAATAAGGATCCTCCAAAATGATATTGGTAATTAAAATTTAGGCCCCCTCACTACTAGCGCTAGTTACGGTTTATGCTATGCAGATCTGAAGTCTAGAACTTGGAAGTTTTTAGGGTTTAGGGTCTTGGGTTTAGTCGCGCAGGAGGTAGTGCCTAGGAACAGAACATGCGTGCCTTGACGCAGCAGGTGCGACGTCAAAGGCAACAGTCAGCGTCAGTTGCGATTCTGCACATCCGAGCCCCAGCCTCTTTCATAAAAAACCCTAAACACTACAATCCTAAGCCGAATTGAGCTTGCTTACAGCGCTCCTCGAGTGAGTTGCCGCTGGTTGGACGATCAAACCGGCAAGCTCCGAGATTTAGGGATGTGGAAATGAGAGGGATTGTGCAAGCCTGGCACGATTTGTTTCACGGGTCAGCAGCTACCTGAACCCGAGAAGCGAACAACGCATGATCATAAGATCTCACAAATGATGTTACTTCTGGGAGTGCAGGTGCATGCACCAGAGGCTAGTGCACGAAAACACTTTACATGTCTATGCATGAAGTATATATCATGCTTAACTAACTCAATCTCCTATCGCTGAGTCGTGCAACCCAAGAGCACATGTGCAATCTACTTGGGACATGTTGCCTTAAAGCTGAGGGTGGCTCAACTGCCTACGGCGTGCGGGTGCATTGCATGTCCCCCCCCCACTGCACGGACAGAAAGCAAAGACCTCTGCCGTAAATTAGCAAACGCTGAATCCTACCTGTAGACGAATGGACCTGCCTTTTTAGGAATTCTTATCATGGTGCCTATATATAGTTCCTTAAAAAGGTAGGTCTTTTGGGCCACAGGTACAGCAAACCCCAGTTCTGCCTCGGAAACCCGAAGACCCTCTGCTCAAGCCTTCTACATTGAAATTGTGGAGCCCCTCCCTCTCTCTCTCTCTCTCTCTCTCTCTCTCTCTAGATATATGTATATATCCATCCATCTCTTTATCTATCGATCTATCCATCCATTTATCTATCTATCTATCTATCTATCTACCTGTCTATCCAGTCAAATATATATATATATATATGTAT